GGTTTCTTGCCATGCTGCGGACGCAAGCTTCAGACGAAGAAGTGAATGATGTGTGCTCCCGGCGCCTATTTATTCTACTGGTGGTGGATGAGGAGATACCCCCTGACAATTTAAAGCGCTTTGAGTGCCTAGAAAAGCGCTATATAAATGTAATGAATTATTATTATTATTATTATTATTATATATATACACACACACGAGTGTGTATAAAGACCCGCTGGTCTATTAATAGACTCATTAACATTCATTACTGTTCTGAGATTATTAGTTCTGCCTTTATGAGCTGGAGTGATTTGGGTCGAGCTGATCAGCTGTTTTAAGTTTATCCCTAACTACACACACACACACACACTCACTCACTCACTCACACACTCACACACACTCACACGCACTCACTCACTAATACACACACACACTCACTCATACACACACACACACACACACACACTCTCACTCTCTCACTCTCACACTCATACACACACACTCACTCACTCACTCGCACACACTCACACACACACTCACTCACTCACTCGCACACACTCACACACACACTCACTCACTCACTCGCACACACTCACACACACACTCACTCACTCACTCGCACACACTCACACACACACTCACTCACTCACTCGCACACACTCACACACACACTCACTCACTCACTCGCACACACTCACACACACACTCACTCACTCACTCGCACACACTCACACACACACTCACTCACTCACTCGCACACACTCACACACACACTCACTCACTCACTCGCACACACTCACACACACACTCACTCACTCACTCGCACACACTCACACACACACTCACTCACTCACTCGCACACACTCACACACACACTCACTCACTCACTCGCACACACTCACACACACACTCACTCACTCACTCGCACACACTCACACACACACTCACTCACTCACTCGCACACACTCACACACACACTCACTCACTCACTCGCACACACTCACACACACACTCACTCACTCACTCGCACACACTCACACACACACTCACTCACTCACTCGCACACACTCACACACACACTCACTCACTCACTCGCACACACTCACACACACACTCACTCACTCACTCGCACACACTCACACACACACTCACTCACTCACTCGCACACACTCACACACACACTCACTCACTCACTCGCACACACTCACACACACACTCACTCACTCACTCGCACACACTCACACACACACTCACTCACTCACTCGCACACACTCACACACACACTCACTCACTCACTCGCACACACTCACACACACACTCACTCACTCACTCGCACACACTCACACACACACTCACTCACTCACTCGCACACACTCACACACACACTCACTCACTCACTCGCACACACTCACACACACACTCACTCACTCACTCGCACACACTCACACACACACTCACTCACTCACTCGCACACACTCACACACACACTCACTCACTCACTCGCACACACTCACACACACACTCACTCACTCACTCGCACACACTCACACACACACTCACTCACTCACTCGCACACACTCACACACACACTCACTCACTCACTCGCACACACTCACACACACACTCACTCACTCACTCGCACACACTCACACACACACTCACTCACTCACTCGCACACACTCACACACACACTCACTCACTCACTCGCACACACTCACACACACACTCACTCACTCACTCGCACACACTCACACACACACTCACTCACTCACTCGCACACACTCACACACACACTCACTCACTCACTCGCACACACTCACACACACACTCACTCACTCACTCGCACACACTCACACACACACTCACTCACTCACTCGCACACACTCACACACACACTCACTCACTCACTCGCACACACTCACACACACACTCACTCACTCACTCGCACACACTCACACACACACTCACTCACTCACTCGCACACACTCACACACACACTCACTCACTCACTCGCACACACTCACACACACACTCACTCACTCACTCGCACACACTCACACACACACTCACTCACTCACTCGCACACACTCACACACACACTCACTCACTCACTCGCACACACTCACACACACACTCACTCACTCACTCGCACACACTCACACACACACTCACTCACTCACTCGCACACACTCACACACACACTCACTCACTCACTCGCACACACTCACACACACACTCACTCACTCACTCGCACACACTCACACACACACTCACTCACTCACTCGCACACACTCACACACACACTCACTCACTCACTCGCACACACTCACACACACACTCACTCACTCACTCGCACACACTCACACACACACTCACTCACTCACTCGCACACACTCACACACACACTCACTCACTCACTCGCACACACTCACACACACACTCACTCACTCACTCGCACACACTCACACACACACTCACTCACTCACTCATACACACACACACTCACACTCACACTCACTCACACTCACACTCACACTCACTCACGCTAAACTTGTTCGTGAACAGTGCTTGTTTTTCTCTCTTATCAGCTGTAGTTGTGTTATCGGCATTAAAACAAAGCAGGTCACTGCACTGTAATCTGTGACGCACAGCAGCCGAGTGTTTACAGATGCTGAGGAACGAGCAGAAAGCAGACGGGATCTTCACGTCTCACTGTACTGCTGCTGCTGCTGTCCAGACTCCAGGTTGTGAAATACATCAGTAATGCGCATTAGCGCTGGCCGGTAAACAGCCTGCAGAAACTACTGAGACTGCACAAAATCCAGCAGAAGAACACACAAAACCAGACGGAACCAGACCTGTGGGCTTGTTTGGCACTATCATATTCAAAAGCACCAGGACTTTTACAGTTGTTTGTGATTTACTGCATCAGGATTTCTACAAACATTTTCACTCACAATTTCTGCCTGACAAATTTTTTTTTAAATGTACATTCATTATAAATTACATTATAAATTACAAACATCATAAAAAGATTGTGTTAATTCCATGACTTTTTCAGTTCAACAGCTGTTGAGGAGGTGAATTAAAATTAGAAATATCTTGATTTTTTGTTGTTTTGGCAATAATACTTTAAAACAAGCTTTCAGTTGTTAACATTAGTTAATGCATTAGTTAAAGGGGTCATATGATGCAATTTAATTTTTTCCTTTCTCTTTGGAGTGTTACAAGCTCTTGGTGCATAAAGAAGATCTGTAAAGTTGCAAAGACTAAAGTCTCAAATCCAAAGAGATATTCTTTATAAAAGTTAAGTCAGCCACACCTACCTAAAACGGCTCGTTCTAACACGCCCCCACATGTCTACGTCACTATGTGGGAAGAT